CCCCCGGGCCCCCGCCGGCTGCCGGGGATGTGTCTGCGTGCGCCTGCCTCTGTGTGGATGTGTGTCCGTACCGCGTGTCCCTGTGTGTGGATGTGTGTCCGTACCGCGTGTCCCTGTGTGTGGATGTATGTCCGTACCGCGTGTCCCTGTGTGTGGATGTGTGTCCGTACCGCGCGTGTCCCTGTGCGCAGCGCGTGCATCTGTGCGCGATAGACGGACACGCGGTATCAGGTACGTGCGCAGGGGCTCGTCCCTGCCGGGCTGCTGCCTTCCCGCGCGGGAAGGCGCCCGCGGCGCTTTGTTTTATTATTTTCAATCTTCCTTAAGGCGGGGCGCGGCGCGGAGCGGAGCGGCTCCCCCGGCGCGGGGAAGGGGCCGGGGGCTCTGCGGGGCTGGGGGGCATCGCAGGGGCCGCGGAGCCCRCGGGGCGCCCCCGCTGCCCGCAGCCCCCCGGAGCTCCGGGCGCCGCTTTCGGCCACGTTCCCTCCCTGCCCAAAGGAATGATGACCGCTCCGGYGAGGGGAGGGTGGCGGAGCTGCTCAGGGTGCTGCTTTGGGGGAAAATAAAGGTAAAATAATAAAGTATCCTTTAAATTATCATGACAGCAGCCTGCTAAGCGCATCGCCGATCTGCCCTGTTCACTGTTCGTAAAGCTCCTTCAAGTTACATTTTGGAAKCATCCACTTAAACCAGACACTCGCCAGCGGGAACCACGTGAAACATTTCGTGAGGGCTGCAGTGGGAGCTCCCYGTGCTCCGCCGGTGAAATCCTGAGGGCTGTCACTCCGTGGATGCCTCCGTGTCCCGGGACACATCCACACACCCGGCAGCGCTGCTCAGCTTCAAGTCCTGCGGCTGGTCCGTGTGCTGGATTCACCAGGAATTGCTCCTTTCCCAAGGGGGTTGTTTCCTTCAGCACCCGGCTCCCTGTCRGGGCACTTATGTGTTAACTTGATTTGCTGCTGCTTCCACCCGGCATCCCCTGGGAGGGAGGGAAACCTGGGCTCCAGCGTGATGACCCTTCTGCTCACCTTGGCCATTCCTTGCTTGAGAAGGGAGCTGGAAGTGCGGGCACAGCTGCGGGGCGGAACGCAAACACCGGATAACACTGTGTAGAAAAAGCAGCAGCAAAMAAGATCTTCTTGGGCGATCATCTATCTAATACAGCCTAGTAAAATAATAAAGCTGCGAAAGTCATAGGTGGGAAGCTGCTCTAAGGAGTGTGCCTTGAAAGTAGTTTTGTTTGCTCACTGAACTGAACTTCAGAGTGTTCTTGAAGCTCACATAAACATGCACCCTGGTGAAGCCCATTTTGTATGTTCCTGCTCTGTAAGTTATGTCAGGCTTTTTTTTTTTTTTTTTTTTTTTGTTGTTGTTGTTGTTGTAAATGACTACATATACCCTAGCTGGGATTAGACAGAATGTCACAATATACATGTCAGCCATCTTCGCCACAGAGCTTGCAAAAACATTTTCTTAAGGCACGTTTTGAAATGCTGACCTTTGTAGTTACTGCTTTATGGTGACCCTACAGATGTGTTTACAGCATTGAAATCTGGAAATGGCCCTTTTGATTCCCTCCATCTCTCTCCAGAGAGATTCCCTCCATCTCTCTCCTCTTACATGTTACGTGTGAGCCCCATACTGTCTTCACTGACGGGTTGGGGCATAAGCTGTGTAAACACGGAGATAATAAATGTGTAAATCATGGGGCTACTGCCTTGCTGCTCCTTGGGAGGTGAAGCACCACAGGGACTCCACTAGAGTGGGAGAAGCAGGATCAGCATGTGGGCAAAGGCCATCGARCTGGTATCATTTAGCAGGACGGGTGTAAAGACCAATTTGGATGGTTTTAGGAATGGATTTGGCCAATGGCACGTGGTCCTTGCTTGCCATTGCCTTCAGCCTTACAGGGTAACGGTGCCTCTGCAGGCCCTGAAGCTTCACGGGCTCCTCAGCCRCTCTCCTTCACCTTGAAGAGATTTTTATAAAGAATTAACTCCAGGCTGTGGCTCATTTCTTTTGCTGAGCCAAAAGCACATATGAAAATGGACTTGTTAATCCCAATTCAAAATATCTCTTAATCCACCTCATCATTAGTTCAGTTGCAGGATTTTCCATACCTATAAATCCAACATTTCTCCATAGACTTTTTTTTTCCCAGCTACATAAATACTTCTTAACAGGAGCAAATCCTGCAGCCCTGAATCAGTAGCAGTCAGACCAGCTGATGACTGCAGCAAGAGCACAGCTCTCAGACGGGCCCTTTAGGACTARGGTCATTTCAGACATGGGCTATTTTCCCCTCCAAAATAATCACGCACAAGTCAAGAATCACTTGACTCGCTTCAACCAGCATTAACAGGCTGGGCTGCCTGCAATAGAGTAAGAAATTTCTGCACAGACAGATTTGCTGAGAACATAGTCCCCCCTAGAGGATGAAAAAGTGAAATATTTTAATACTGTCTGTACTGCAGATGTGTGCTGCCAGTCAGACTTTGAAAATCTTGCCTTATATTTTGAGAAATGTATTTTTTATTATTTTTTTTTTTTGTTTCAAGACATCTGTGTTTTTCTGGAGCATAAATAATAGAGCTGTTATTGTTACTTGATGCATTTTGGTGTCTCTCTTTATCTTGTCTGTATTACGTTCCATTACAATGCTGCACAGTTTTTAGCTTAAAATATAGCAGCTTGAAAAATCAAGACACACAGATCTTATCCCTWAAAAAGTGAATGAAAACAGGTCACATAAAATCTATTTACCTGCTCTGGTTTTTAATTGACACAGACTTCTAAGAMCAAGGAAATGACAGGTTAAAATTGCACATGAAAAATATGAGCGTACAGCAGTAATAACTTTGGAGATCCCAGAAAGTTTGCAGGACTTATTTTGCTTTCTATCTTAATAGCTGGAGCTCCAACAGTAAGCCTAACTGATGTTATTCCATGTTTCTGAGGAATATTTCAAGACTACCCTCCTACAGCATAAAAATTAGCGTGTTAAATACAAAAATCAGTAGTTGCTGTGTTTCCTCACACCCACTGGGTAATACTGAATGTGAGGCAATACAGTGAAAGAGAATAAATCAGGAAATCTTTGCAGAGATACGACATTYGAGGCAAAATGCTGGAGAGCTGCCATGGCTTTGGGAAAAATCCTTGCAAAATTGTCTTAGGGGGTTCCACTCTGGTTTTAGAAGGATTATTGCACAGACAAGATTGTGTGTTTCTTACATGCAAGTCCAAATTTATCAAAATTAATTACTGGCAGCTAGTGTGAGTTAAAGCAACTTCTGGATGGTCCTAAATAATCCCTTGGGGCTRATCTTGGCTATAAATCACAATCCTTGAGTGTGTCTAGCACCAGGCTGAGTTCTGTGCCCTGGGCAGCTGCAACATGAGGATCTGGATCCATGTCCTCATTTCCACCCAAGACATTGGAGATGCCCTGAGGTACTGCCCTTTGCTGCATGCAGGAACAGCTCTAATGACCATAAACTAATGACATAAAGAGATGCCTCTTTAGCACCTCCATGAAACGGTTTTGCCTCATTTCTATCTCCCTCCTTTTCACCTCAAACCATCTGACATCACGAAGGGATAAATCAGCCCTGACATAATTCATATAGAAGAATTCTGGAGATATGCAGAATTGTGGTTGCTGAAGTTACCGGAGTAGGCATAAAGAYATATCTGAATTATATTCTCTTTTGCCTCTCCAGTCACTATCCTGCTCTGTATGGACCTAAACACATCTAAATATGAGATACATTGCCAAGAAACTGTAGTCTTGCCCCAGAAAGATTCATATCAGTTTTAAAATATGAGGAAACATTCTTCATTTCTATGATGCTACTAAAATTGTCAGGAAGTGTATGTAGCATTTTCCAGTTCTAGTAACTCATCACCTATCTCAGGATGATTATAGTCTACTAAATGCAGGAAGAAACACTTCAAATTCACAGAGGAATAGATKGACTCATCTTGTCAAGCATTTTGAAATGAGAGACCAATGTGCACAAAATTCCCTTTCTATTTGAAGTTAATTTCTCTTCAATAGTTCCAAATGGGAATTGTTGCTTTAGGCATTATTGCAAAGCATATTCTTTTCCCTCTTGTGACTAATATTCATGAGAAAAATAATGCCCCGCACTTCTGCAGTCAAGGCATGTCTGCAGCTGCAGCAGGAACTTGGCCACACCTGCGCCTTTCATCTCCAAAATGAAGACAGATTAAAAAAGACATTGCTACAAAAAAGGCCCATGGTGTTCAACAAATGCAGCAGTAAGTGTAACATACCTTAGGTGTTATAGTGTTGTTAGCTCTACCTGTCAATCAGCTCAATATTGACAGTTATGTAATGGTGTTTCAGTGTGATCATTATGTATAAAATGATACTATTTTCAATTGCTTGTAATTTTAGTCTAATATTAACCCCTTGGGCTCAAATTTCCAGCCTGGGCCTGCCCTAGGCTGCTTTACTAAGTGCAACCTGAAAATCTTGGCCATTTCTGAAGAGATTAAGGAAACAGACCTTTTATCCATATTAAAAAAAAAAACCCTTTTGGCAACCTTGTTTGGAATTCAGCCCTACAAATCGGTATATGTGTGCAGGAGGGTGACTTGTG